ACTTTAACACTTCGATGTGTTCACCAGTGGAGAATGGGACTGCTCTCTCTCATCCTAAATAATTCTTATCCATATCTTTTCCATAACACCGTTGGCCCCATAACACACTGGGGCCCTTCTTTTGGTCCTTTAGTGAAAAGCAGTGTTCCATAGTGCATAGCATGCTGACTCAGGACTAACTCTGTGCAACTATGAAAGAGTCTTTGAACCTCAGTTTTACTATATGGAAAATGGGGGTAATAATAGCTTTAGCATCAACTCAAAGGATTGTTACAAGGCTACACTGAGATAGATATAAAGCACTACAGAGATTTCAGTTAATACCAGTCTGAGACATTATGCTTTAATTAAATCCTTTGTCTTCAATTCTTAAGCTTTTCCTTCTGTGCTAAGAATAGGCCCGATAATAAAAACAAACAAAACAAAATTTGCTCATGTTTTCAGAAATGACGCCTAGTGAAAAAAAAAGGAATAAATCACAAAATAATAAAGCTGTGATATGATATCAAAAAGTCATCTAATCAACATCTAATTAAGTAATTGAAGATAGATGATAATTAATTCCAGTCAAGCCCCAGGGATTAATGTCACATGGGAACAAAAAATGGGAAGGCTCTCCTGTTGTCTTAGACCATAAATCTTTTTTCCAGACAGCAGAAAGACAAACAAGGTTCCAAAGCCCTGTGTCTATCCCATGTAGCTCTCTTTTTGGCATTTAAAGCCTGCTAGCAGTAATTTTGACAGTTATATAATGAAATTCACTGGAAGCTCACCCTGGGATCACCTAACCTGATACTGTAACAATATTGGGAGACAAAATTGGGAGAAAAGCTTGGAGATATTTAGTTAAGACTTTTATTTTACAGATGAGCAAAGTTAGGACCAGAGGGGATATTTAATATCCAAAATGGCATGGCTAATAGTGGAATAGAAACCAGAATTCAGGCCTCCTTTTTCCTGGAAGAGTGAGTGGTATTTCTACTACATCTTCTAGCACTCCTTTTGGAAGTTCCAAAATTGGCCTATGTACAACTAAATGAATGTTTATAACAGATAATGTTACAAGTAAGGTCTTGATAAAGAATACACACACACACATACATACATACACACATTTAACTCCTTTTAAGTGAATTGATTTTGCACAATTTCAGATTTACAGAATTAATGAAGTAGAGAGTTCCATGAGTTCCTCCCTAACCTAGCTCTACCCTGCTCCTTTCTGGATCTCTCATAAGGCTGTCCCTCCCATCACCACACTAATCCCAAGCACTAGAATTCCCGGTTATAACTCTTATGGAGATAACCAAACGGAGTCTGGTGGAACACTTGTCAGACATGTTATAAAGAGAATAATCTACATTAGATAGTAGCTGAGCTGCTTTTTTAATTCTCAGATTTTGTGATTCTGATAGAATGCTACCAAGTTTGGTGCTGTCATTCACATTTTACTTTTTATTCAATCAACATATATATTATACACCTATTATGTACCAGACACTGTACTAGGCACTTAGGGTACAAACATAAAAATGAAAGAAGTCTCAGCAGCAAGGTGGAAATTTGGTGATGAAATAGAGTAGAAGATTTAGAGTCTTTCTGATCTGAGTTCCTATTTGTTCTTAGGCTCTATGTGACCTTGGGCAGTCATTTAACCTGTGTTTGCCTCAGTTTCCTCATCTGTAAAATGAGAGTAATAATAGCACCTATCTGACAAAGTTATTGTGAGGATAAAAGGAGGTAATATTTGTGAAATGCTTAGCACATTGCCTGGAACATAGTAAGTACTTAAATAAGTGCTTGTTTTCTTCCTTCCTACTTAGCTTTCTTATTTCTTAACTTCTTTCTTTCTTTCTTACCATGAAAGAGCCTACAGTCTATGCAGGATAGATAGAATGTACACATATAGTTATGTACAAAAGAGGTACAGTGTTGTCTCATAGGCATCTGAAATTCAATGTGTCTAAAACTGAATACATCTTTCCCCCCCCCCCAAACACTAGCTCTTCCTAAGGTCCCTATTATTGTTATGGGCGCCACCACATTAAATGATACTTAGGTGTCACCTTTGACTCTTTATTATTACTCTCCTATACAATATGTTGCCACAATATGTTGCCAAATCTTGTCATTTATACTTCCATTTTATCTATCCTATATGTCCCTTTCTCTCCTCTGACACTGATATCACATTGGTACAGGTTCCTATCGCCTCACTTCTGGACTAGCGATGTTGCAACCCACTATTGGTTGCAACTGCCTCAAGTCATTCCTTATTCTAGTACATCCTCAAATCAGTTACTAAAGTTATCTTCCTAAAGCACAAAACTGACTATAACCCCTTCTCTAATCAACTCCAATGGCTTTCTATTGCCCCCTGGATCAAATACAAAATCCTCCGTCTTGTAAAGCCCTTGATAATCTTTCTCCTTCCTACTTCTCAAGTCTTCTTATACTTTATGCCATATACCTCTGCCTTATTATCTGTGACCCAGTGACATTGGCCTCCTTACTATTTCCCACACTAGATATTTTATCTCCCAACTGTCAAGTTTTCACTTGCTATCCCCCATGCCAAGAGTTATCTCCTTCCTCAACTCTACCACCTAGCTATCTTGACTTCCTTCAAGTCTCAGCAATAGTCCCCCCTTGTAAAAAAAAACCTTACCCAATCCTTCTTAATGCTAATCTCTTACCTCAATTGTGGATAGATGGACGGATGGATAGATAGATAGATAGATAGATAGATAGATAGATAGATAGATAGATAGATAGATAGATAAATAGATAGATAGATAGATGATAGATAAAGATAGATGAATGGATGGATGGATGGATGGATGGATGGATGGATGGATGGATGGATGGATAGATAGATAGATATACAGATACATAGATAGAAATACACACGCAAAAATCTGTATCTATATATGTACATAAAAGTTTGTACTTGTTTGTTTTCATCTTTTCTCCGCAATTAGACTTTGAATTTCTTTAGAATCTTTGCCTTTCTTTGTATCTTCAGTGGCTAGCACAATGCCAAGAATATTGTAGGTACTTAGTAAATGCTTATTGATGGATTGACATCACCCTAGGACACAAATTCTTAACCTAGGGTCTATGAACTTGTTTTTAATAATGTTTTGAAAGCTGCATTTCAATAAAATTAGCTTCCTCTTTAATCCTTTGTATTTTATGCATTTTAAAACATTATTCTGGAGAGGGTTCCTTAGACTTCAACAGACAGCCAAGGGGTCTGTGACACACATAGAAAGTTAAGAACCCTTTTTTCTAGAAGCTAGGTGTATCAGGAAAGATAATATAGAAGCTTGTGCTTCAGCTGGGATTTGAAGGAAGCTAACGGCTTTGAAAAAATAGAGATGAGGCAAGAGTATATTCTGGACCAGAGGGATACCCAGAACGAAGCACAGAAGTGGAAGGTATAGTGTCACATATGAAGAATGATAAAAAGGTCACTTTTTGTATGTAGAGGGAGTGATATGTAATGAGTGTGTGTAGAGGGAGTAATATGTAGTAAGGATGGAAAGGTAGATTAGTTCCAGATTGTAAAGGGCTTTAAATGCCAAATAGAAAAATTTATATTTGACAGTTTAGAAAAAGGAAAGCCTTGAGGCAAGGAGATTGGTTGGAAGGCTATTGCAATAGTGCAGGTGAAAGATAATGAAGGCTTTAACTAAGGTGGGATGACTTTATGAGTAGAGACAAAGTAGAAACAAGATTTGACTATTGATTGGATATTTGTAGTGAGTAAGTTTTCAAAGATAATACTGCATGCCTGGGTGACAGTGAGATTGACTGGTACCCTTATTAGTAGGCAAGTTACAAAGAGGGGTAGGTTAAGGAATTAAGCTAAATAATGAGTTCCATCATCTAGTTGTTTGAAACGCCTATTGAACATCCTCATACTAAAATACCCACGTCGACAATTCTTGCCCCACCTCCCCCGGAAACTCTTCTAGCTAACTAGCACTTATAAAATGTCTTAAGGCTTGCAAAGAACTCTTCTCAATGATTTCCACTCAGTCTTTTCTCATTTGGAAATGCATCTCTAGTTTTATAATTAAGTCCATAGGAATAAAGCAAGTATTTGAATTATACTGGGTTATTTTAATTATTCAGGGGGCTTCCTGGAACTGTTAGAATTCATTCAAAAGAGAGGTCTTCCAAGCTTAATTCACATTTGCTGTAAAAAAAAAAAAGGTTAGGTCCTTGAAGAATGATTTAACATAATATAAACCTCAAGATTCTAGTCTCAAAGTAGAAATATGAAACGTTGCATAGAAGTTCCAGCAATGCAAGATCAGCTTTCCATGGTCTGAGAAGGACCTGAACTAGGCTAATGACTGTAGGAACAGAGGAGAGAAGAGATGTGAGAGACATGGCTGGAGTAAAATTGGTAAGATTTAACAACTATTTGTATGCTAGAGGCCAAGGGAGAAAAAATGGAGTCAAAGATGGCACTGAGGTTTTGATACCTAGCAAATCAACACTTGGCACATTTAACAGGAAACCAGGAAGAAGTACTAGTTTGGGAATAAAATATGATGTTCAGACTGGGACATAAAATCAGAATCATAGAATTTTAGATGGGACCTTACAAAACCAAGGGAGGGAAAAAAAAGGAAAAATAACTTTCCCCAGAGCATATGAGTTAAGGAAATAGTAGAACTAGAAGAAAGTGAATACCAGTTGATAATAATTATTATTCACAAATGGGCCATAATCAGATTCACTTTCCAGCTTTGTTAAAATGTGCTTATTCCGTAAACGCAGAGAATCTTAGACTCTTCCGATAACTCACACTTCTATTGTTCTTCAGGGAATATAATGCACATTCACAGCTATATGAGTCTAAGGGCCATAATTTCCAGGTATATAGGTGAAGAATGCTAGTATGTTTGATATAGAAGGGACTCTGGATACTACCAAGCTCAGTTCCCTCCTTTTGCAAATGAATAAGTATTATATGGAATGCTTACTTTTCATATTTATATTCCATAAGGAAATCCCCGACACAGTCATTCTCCTTAATATCTTCAATCTATTTTGTGTATCCTTTATCTGGCAAAACCATTTGAAGAGCCTGTTTCATAGAATTAGAAAAGAAGGTCATATATTTAGAGCTAGAAATGATATTAGAGGTCATTGAGTCCAAAGCCAGCATTTTACAGAGGAGAAAACTGATACTTAGAGGTGATTAGTGAGTTGCCTAAGGTCACACTTAACATATGGAGGTAGAATTAAAACCCAAGGCTTCTTGACTCCAAATTTAGCACTCTATATGTTATGCAACACTGCTTCTCTTTCCTCTTCTCTTCATTCAATTGAATCTTATTCAAATTAACTAGCTGTTATTGAGTGCCTACTCAAGTAAAGACAATGAATGGAGGGAATATTGACGGGGCTTGTGATTTCATTGGTATAGGGGATTGCCAGATAAAGGCACTCTCTCTACAATACAATTCACCTAAATCTTTCAGGAAGATCTTCACAACTTTTTAAAAGGTACTTAACTTGAAGGAAAAAAGAAAAGAGAGGCAAGAAGGAAGAGACTTATTGTTGTATCTTGTTGATTCTGCTCCTCAGTATATTTCATATAGGTCCACTTCCCCTCCATTCAAAGGACTACCATCCTAGTTTAGCAATGGAGTGTGCAGAATTAAGCAACCTAAAAAAAAAAAAAAAGACATTGTGCTTCAATACCTCAAGGATCTTTGACGGTTTTTAAAATAGTCACATATACCCCATTCCACCAAATCCTAAAACTATCACAATGCCTCAAAGGTGGTCTTTGAGAGCTACTGAAGGTGAGAGTGCAGTCAACCTAGTGGTGTTATTGTTGCTCAGTTGTTTCAGTCATGTTTGACTTTTTGTGACCTCATTTGGGGTTTTCTTGGCAAAGATACTAGAATAGTTTGCCATTTCCTTCTCCAGCTCATTTTACAGATGAGGAAACTGAGGTGAACAGGGAGAAGTGACTTTCCCAAAGTCACACAGCTAGCAAATGTCTGAGGCCAGATTTGAACTCAGGAAGATGAGTGTTACTGACTCCAGGCCCAGCTCTCTAGTTACTATACCACCTATCTGCCTCTGCACCATCTAGTTGGCTCTGTACTTATAACCTTCCTGTTTGGTACAATGTGACAAAGTTTGTAGTCTACTGGCAGAGACTTTGAGAACCCAGGGTCATCTCTAGGACACAGTGAAGCCTGTGGTAGGATTTTCCTGGAAGAAAACTTTTATTATCAAATTATTTTGTTTGGAGTCCACATTTCTCCCAATTTTTCTTCTTTGCAGACACTGTTCTTAACCATGCATTTACAAACTTAAAATCATCCTAACAAGTTTTGAATTGCCATAAAAAGGATTATGGAAACTCAGCAGGCAGTCCCCAGGTTCCTATTTTTAGTACAACTGTCATGTTAAATACTCCAGAGCAGTAGAGACTTATTAGGTGAGAGCAACACAGCCGATCAGCAGACATTTTGGCCACAAAGTCAGCACAGCTGCTGTTTATCTTGGCAAGATCTTCTGTTAAGAAGTGATCTAACTATTGGAAATACAGTAAAAACAAAAGCTGAATACACCTTCTCTTTTCGGACATGTGTCAGCTCAGCTACATAAAGAGTTATAAAACATTAGAGAAATGAATCATCTTCCAATTGTTTTTCTGTGTTTAGGACAGCTTTATTAGACATTTCAGGCAACTGTGGCTCCAGGAGCATCCATGACCAGAATCGGAGCTATACAGCTTCTCAACCAGGAATTCTCAACTCACAGCAACGGTGGCCGTGAACAGCCTCAAACTCAGGGTGAAGCGAGGATGAACAAAATGCTCATCCAAAAGGCGTATTGGAGTCAAACATTGAACCTAGTATTTTCCTTCTTTGATAGAACGCCTGAAAGAACCTGTCCTTCATAGGTTTGAGGCCAAAAATATTAACTGAAGAGTGGGCCTAGGGGGAAGGATTATGGTCCGTGGGACAGGATTTCCAGTTACGTACATTTTAATAAGCACTTAAAAGACATTTACCACGTGCAGAGAACATTGTACCAGATGTGAGGGGAAGGGCAGTTCAAAGTTCAGAAAAGTTTTAGACACTGCACTTCATTGTTAAGTCATTTCAGTTGTGTCTGATTCTTCATGACCCCCATCTGGGGTTTTCTCAGCAAAGATATTGGAGTTATTCACCATTTCCTTCTCCAGCTCATTTTACAGATGAAGAAACTGAGGCAAACATGGTTAAGTGATTTGCTCTGGGTCACACAGCTAGTAAATGTCTGAAGCCAGATTTGAACTCAGGTCTTCCTGAAACCATGCCAGGCATCACCTACCTGCCCCACGCTTTAGTAGGAGAACATGAAATTTACACAAATAACTGCACTACACAGCTACAAATAAAGTACACTACCAGGACTAAAATGGGAAAGGTCAAAAGTACACATCAGAGGGATCTGGGAGAGTTCAGAAATGAGAGAATATTTGAGGTGGGTTCTATTAGTAGACTCATAGGTTCACAGATCTAGAAGTAGAAGTTCATAGATCTCAGAAGCCATCCAGACCAACTCCCTCCTTTTTATATGAAGAAACTGGGAATGAGGATGGGAGAAGTTAACTGGATTTACCCAAGGTCACACGGGTATCAAGTAGCAAAGGTGGGATTTGAACTCAGGAGCCAGTATACTTTCAACAGGAAGAAATGGGGAGGACGACATTCTAAGCAGAGAAAAGTTTATGCAAAAAATACAGAGACAGGAAAATGCAATGTCTAGACAGGGGTTAGTTTAGTGTGGCCAAAGGGTAGAGTATATAGAACAGGATTATATGAAAAAAGTTTGGAAAGGTAGGGTAGTGGAACAAGAAATGCCAGGCTAAAGTAATTGTAGGCCACAGGAAACTAAAGCTTTTAACAGAAGATTGATATGATCAGCCATGTGTGTTAAAAAAAAAAAACAAGTCTAAGAAAGCATGACATTTGAATTGCAGAGGAAAAGAAATGAGGTGGTAAGACCTGTGATAAGATGCTAGAAAGATAACAGCAGGGGTTCACTTGATTGATAACAGTGGCCAGTCCTGAAGTGGTGGCAACAGGAATAGAGATGACAGGACAAATTCAAGAGGTTGCAGAAGGAGAATTTAGATGGCTGGCGAAAAATAAAGGACAGGAAAATTAATGATAATAATAATAACAAAATCTGTAAAACATTAAAATCAGAAGGAAGAACAAGTTTCACAGGAAACTTACTAACTTGGGTTGATGTTCTGTATGTTGAATTTGCAATTTAATTCAATGAGCATTTATTGAGTCTACTACTACATATTGAGTGATGCAAAAGTAAAAACAAAACATTCCTTTAACTCAAAAGGGCAGTGATTCTAGCGAAAGAAACAACATGTATGTAGCTATGTGCATATATGTAGAGTAGATAGAAAGTAATTTCTGGAGTGGAGTCAGGTGAGGAGAGCTCCCTCCCCCCCCCCCCCGGAAGAGTCAGAAAAGAACTCATGGAGAGAGACTCAGATGTGAACTGAGTTTCTACATAAACAAAGCATTTTAAGAGGTTGAAGTGGAGAGCGAGAGCATTCCAGGCCTGAAGGAATGAGCACCTAAGCAAAATAACTGAGGCAGGAGAGAGAGTATTATGTATGAAGAAATACAGGCAAACCAGTTCATCTGTAATGGGTGGTAAATGACAATGGAGGGATAATGTGAAATCAACCTAGAAAGGTAGTATCCAGATTGTAAAAGATTTTAAAATCTGTTTTTTAACTTAGAAGCAATAGGGAGCCAATGAAATTTCTGTTGCAGGGATACAACATAATTAGTTCTGTGCTTTAAGGGAGGAGGGGAAAGAAAGGGAATGTACACTTATGAAGCACCTACTGTGTGTCAGGTACTGTGCCAAGCACTTTGTAAATATTATGTCATTTGATCCTCACAACAGCCCTGTGAGGTTGGGGGAGACAGGGAGACCAATTAGAAGAGTTCTGAAATAGTCTTGCTGAGAGGTGATGAGTACCTGAACTAAGGTTGTGTCCATGTGCCTGCAAAGAATTGGATGGATACAATAGAAGTTGAGGTAAACTCAGCAAGACCGAGCAAAATTGGACATGAGTATTGAGGGAGAAGAAGAATTAAGGATGTCTCTCAGGTTGCAAACCAGCATGCCTAGATAGCCATACCCTCAACATAAATAGGAAAGCAAGGAATAAGAATTTTTTGGGTGGGGGGGGGAAGATATTGAATTCTGTTTTGTATAGGTTGAGTTTAAGGCAAGAGAAGAGAGGGAGAAAGTTGTCTCTTCCCTTAAATAAAGTCTGGCAAGTGCTTTCTTTGTGCCTGGCACTGTGATAACCACAGGAAATACAGAAGAGGAAAAAAAGGCAAAAACCACATCTAGTGGACAAGCACGCTAGTGAGTGTCGATGAGTAATTGTCTCCACGTAACCTGAAAACTACATGACATAGTTATAATTACAAACAGAAAATATGTAAACAATCTCGACCCTTCTCATTAAATGAAAGTTAATCTACCATACCAAGTCCTTCAGGAAACTGTCCAACCCACCTGGGCTGGGGCAGGGGGTTGAGGGTGATTATACTTGTTTCCTATGGTGTTTAATCATTATATCAATCCAATCCTTTGAACCATGCAAACATTGGTATTTATAAAGCCTAACAGAAATTATCTTAATCAATGACAACTTAACATCTGGGACCCCACCCAACCCCTTCAATAACATATATGTTCATTATACATAAGTAACAGCAGTGCTAGCCCAGAGTCAGGAAGCCTCATCTTCCTGATTTCAAATGTGGCCTCAGATACTTACTATCTGTGTGACACTGGGCAAGTCACTTAACCCTGTTTGCCTCACTTTCCTTATCTGTAAGAAGAGCTGGAGAAGGAAACAACAAAATGCTTCAGTATCTTTGCCAAGAAAACCCAAATGGGGTCACAAAGAGTTGGACACAACTGAAGTGACTGAACAACAACAGAAACAGCAAGTGACTAGTTGTTCAAAGGTCAGCTCAATGTAGTCAAAGTTTCCTGAATGATTTAGTATTCTTGAGGACTCCCTTCCCCTGAATTATCCACAGGTTCAGTTCAATTCTATTCAACTCAACCTACTGGTATAAGTCTTGAGCACAGCTCACAAAGCATTCGGTGCAAGGAATGATGGAAAATGCTAAGGAGATAGTCAAAGTAAAAAGTGGGGTTGAGTGAAATATAAAGATATTGGACAGGGCTGGAAAACCAGGCTGTTTATACCCTGTAGGAAATTTCACAGCTCTTCTCCACCACATCACCCCCAACATATACACACTTGTCATTGTGAAAGGAACAGTGATGTAAACTAAATGAGAGTATCTGAAAAAGTGTGGGTTATTGAGGAGTGGAAATGTTAGTTCCTTGCATAAGACCTCAGCACTAAAGCTTTCTTCAGGGTCTGTCTAACTTTGGGAAAGGCCAATAGAAGCACACCTGTGATTTCCCAGTGTGGAAATGCCCCATTGATATCTATAATCTATAGACATCTATAATTTATAGTCATAAAGATTTGCCTGGGGTACTGAGAGTTTTAATAATTTTTCCATGGTCATACAGTATGTATCTAAGATCTTTCTGACTCTGAGTGAGGTCCTCTATCAACTAGACCAGGGA